AGTGAAGTTCAGCAGCAAGCTCTTCACACCGTTCAGCCAGTTTGTCCAGCTGCTTCTCCTGTTCTTTTCAACTCCAGCTCTTGTTACCGTTTATGCCACTGGGCAAAACTTCTGTGACTTCCATATGGCAGGTTAGGTGCAGATTTTTTTTGTTCTCTGATGTATGTTGCAGCTGTGGAAAGGGTTGTGGGAATTTGGGGCTAAAGATGAAGATCATTTCTGCCCTGATCTTACGCAAAGTCAAACTGCAGAAGGATGTCTGAGAAGAATGAGTCGCTGAACTCTAGGAAATGTTGCTTGGGTGTTCTCTGCTTCCTCTTTGCTGTAGCAGGGTTACATGGATTTTCCTGTGGTGTGAAAGCAGCATGCATCCAGGGTCAGCATTACTCAGCCTGTGCCAGGGAATTTGTAATATCTGGCTTTTCTTGGCTGTAAGTCAGAAAAAAGAGGTGCAGGGTAAGGAAAGCCTGCTAGGCTACCCTTGTTAGCATCCAAATCCACTTACTTACCTCACTGTAGAAAGAGGAACGATGATTCAGCTTCTCTGCCAGTGAGAGTCCATCCTCGGCAGGAGATTGCTGTCCCTTCTTGTATTGGCAGATGCATAGTGAGTGCTCTATGATGCACTATGCTGCTGGGAGGAGTTGAGGGTCAGGACGCCTGAATTATGAAATGAAGCTGGACTTATGGAGAGTTGAGTCAATAGGCCTTAGAAATCTCAACCCTCCTGCCTCCCCAAGAGGTGCTGCTGTTGTGTCTCTTTGGCTGCCGTGTTTGTTCAGGAAGGAAGGGCAACAGCACAGCAAACAATTCACTTCCTGGCGGTGGCAGGGCTTTTGACATGAAATTGCTCCCAAATGCAAGACTCGTGGCATGGGACACTTTCAAACGTGCTAATTTTATCAGTTGCTGTACAGTTGGTAGAATAAGTAGAAAAAGGTAGATGACCGATAAAAGATGTTGCTCTCTGTCAAAATCTGTAGGGTTGGCAGGTATTTTTTGCTGAACTGTGTGGTGTTTAAGGGCCTCTTGTACTCATGATGGTATTATTTTAGTGCTTCTCCATTGATTGCTGTGGGACTGCTCACAAACTGAAGGAATATTTGGCTTGCATAAAGCTGGATTTTGCCATCCTTAATTGTTTTTAATATAGTCTGGCTTTTTCATAAACATTCTCCCTGCAAATTCATTGTCAAACTTCAAATCTAGTCCTGAATTCTAAATCTCTGCTGTGTGCTTGTGTATATTATATCTTGCTCTGCTCTTAGGGCTTCATGGCATCCCAAGGGAGCAGCAGACTCACAAAGCTTACTTCCTACTTTAAATCGTACTGTCCTCTTCTGAGTCTTTCCATAGTAGATCACAAGCTAAATGGGAATAGTTAATAGCTGAAATATGTAGACAGAGTTTGTCTTTCAGAGGGTTATTTCCTGTGCCACTCTGTTTAACAAAGTGTTTCTACCTGTTCTCTTAATTTCAGATATCTCAGTGTTTAAAAATCCTAATAAGAGCCAAATTTTTAAAACCTTTAAAAAAAAAAATCTGTATTTTAAAGTTATTCTCTCTTTAAAATATTCACCAGTAGCGGATTTCATCCAGGTGCTACCATAATTAAATGGTAAATGTAGTCTGAAGATAGTCTGAAGATGACTGTCAGCTTTCTTCAGGCTTCTGTTATGTATACATCCAATTACATTATTATCTAGCAGATATATGCAATTGCATATATGAGCTACCCACTGGCATGTTTTCAAGTGATCCTCTCTTTATAATTAAGTCTTCTTTCAATAAGTTCTTAAAATTAATTTGAGTTTAAAAGTAAGGCTATTTGATTGCTCGAATCATAGCAATAATATCTGTTAGTGTTGATATGTTGCTTTAAATTTCAGGAGATAATTAACATGTAATCTCCAGAAAAATCAGGTTTTATTTTTAATTTTTCTAAAACCACTGGGACTAACTCAGGGCACTGGCCTTTTCGAAATTAATTCTTGCTTGAACAGTGGAATTCATTCCTTCTTGGATGAAAGCATCTCCTTTAGAAAAGCATACTGTATCAACTCAGGAAGGGAATGCTTCCTGAATTAATTCAAACTTCTGTTATGCAGGTAGTCAAGTTAGAGGATCTAGCGTCTGTGAACAACTCCACTAGTAGATAAAATTTTTTATTTCTATTACACGGTCCTCATATGTTGCATTCTTTTACAGTGACTGGGAGTTTTATTAAGTTGAACAACTCATGTAAATGGAGATACTTGGGTGAAACAGAATCTCTGTCAAGAGCACAATGCGGTAGCAATCGTTGTGAAGTTAAGAGTGCATCTTCAGTGTTTTTGGATTTTTCTTCTCCTTCTAATTCACAGGGCCAGAAGTTAAAACTTTTCTTGTATCTAGATGTAACTTTTCCCATCTCTTGTTCAGTTTGATTGTCCTTTTAAAAGGTTGTTTCTTGGGATAGGAGATAATGAGCAACAATCAAATGAAAAAGAAATAATCTTTTGGCATGTAAAGTAAAAGATGGTCAGAAGATAACTGAAGTTGAGTTCCTAGGGAAAAACATTAGCTAGAGGTACCCAATTAGATTAGAGAGTAATTAAATTTGAAAGCAAAGTAGTAATACTATGCCCTCTTATTTGGCAAAGCACAGTGCACTATATAAAAAGCTATTTTTGATTCATCTTGCAGAAATTTAGTTCACAGATAGGAAAGTGATATGTGGATCAAGATTTTTCTAATTAAAGAAATGAATTAATAAAAACTAATACATTAATCTCTCAAAGTAGGATAAGCCCCACTTGGTTCTCACTGATGGTAATAGAAATCATGTGGTTAAGTTGTCTTAGAATGCTTAGGAAACTTGCACTTCAGACTATGTGATACAGAGCCAAAAGCAGCGAGAGTAATTGTGCTTTTGGTGGTTTGCCTCGGTGGGGCTTTTTCTAATTTTTCCTTTTTGTTCTGTCTAGATGTTTAATAAAATTAAACTATAAATATATGCATTTAGATTAGTTTGTGCTGGCATAAGGAAGTGACTGACAACTTGTGCAGTCCACTGAATATTGGTTGAAATGACTCACTTGTGTATGTTTTCATATGCATACTTTAACATTAGTTTTCAAGACATTAACTTGAGTCTGAAAAAGGGGTTCAAAGTCTGTCAGATACTAAATATTTTTTAAAGTAATTTTAATTTAATTTTGATATCCGTAAGGTAAATATTTCAGGAGGCTTTGTCTTTGGTACCGGGGAAAATACCTCAGAACAACTGTCTTATTCCAAATTTCTCATTTACCTCTCTTGTTAATCTGATTGCAGATGTTGCACTGTACCTGTGACTGTACTGAAATCCACATACTTTTTTACCTTCTCCTGAATTGCATTTCTGAATTCTAATTTAGATGTTACCCACTCCAGAACGTTGCTTCTCCTGTAGCATGTACCTCCTAGCCCTACTGACCCAATCCAGCCCTAGAGGAACTCTACACTTGATGTAACTCCTACTGTTTCTCTGTCTCTATTATTTACTGTGTAGAAGGAGAAAACCTGTTTCAAGGTCTTAGTTGAGTGAAAAATTATGGAACTATTATGTTTGATTCGGGTGTCAGCAATGCCTTTTTTCCTAAATGGGTGCTAATGAAAACATACACAAGTGTTTCCTGAAGATTTTCATATGCATCCGTCTTCTTAATTTTCAGCCAAGAATGCCGTGTATTTTAATAAACCTATGAAAGAATGTGAACTAACAGTTGGCTGAATGAAGGTGACAGGTCTTGTGAAAGTTTTGCTGAAAACGAGTTTTTACATATATTCCTACCATAAGAGTCAGTATCTGTAATAACAATTCAGCCTTTAAGTTTTATTGTCCTCTGAAGTAAGTGCTGCCGTTTTGCTTATTTTGGATCAATATTTGATTGGCAAGGCCAACTTCTTAATTTTACTAAAGGTTACAGAGGGAAGGAATATTGAGGAGAGATACACAATATAAAATAAAGCTCACTTCTAGTTAGAAATAGAACATGTCTCTGTCACAGGGCTCTGAGTTTCCTTTTTTTTTAATAGTAATGACAGCATTATCTCAGTAGCCCTGTGAATGTAATTACCAGCTTTTGAAAGTATTGGTCTATACTGCATAACATCATGGTAAAAAGTCCTGAAAAAAGGGATTTCAGCGTTCTAAAGTTCCTTGGTTTTATTCACATTCATGTTTCCTTTTTTGGTTAAAATATTTCCATATTTGAGGCCTGATATTATGTGACCATAATGTACTGATAATATTCCCTAATGCTACAATTTCTCTGCAGGCTGCCTGTGACTTGCTGCGGAGGATAATACGCATCTTATATCTCAGTAAGAGACTTCAAGGACAACTGCAAGGAGGAAGCAGAGAGATAACAAAAGCTGCCCAGAGTCTCAATGAACTTGGTGAGTCCTCCTTAGTTACTTTCAGAGGCATTGTTAGCTTGCACTCATATGACTCGCACTAGTGTTTGACTTAAAAAACAAAGAAACCCCCAAAACGTTTTACTATGGTTCTTGCTTTCTACTTCCTGATTTGAACTGAGAAATGGTATGGACAGAACTCCTTAGGACCTTCAATTTTTTCATATGACTTCTGTAGATAAAGGTATTTAATAACATGAACATTCTATGATAGTAACTTGTGTTCTTTTGGGCAACATTTTTTTTGTGAAGCAATTAATTTCTCTGTTGGTTTGTGTTTGTATAAAATGCCTTCAGAGGCAGGAGATAACTATGTAGCTTTTGGAAGAAGTTGCACTACAATAAGGCATAGTTTGAATTACAGTTTACATCCTAAAATAAAATTATTGGCCCTGCGACCTTTATGAAAGCCGTATGTGATATGATATACAGATACCTAATCTAATTCAGATACTGGAAGCATTCTGCGGCGGTAGTCGCTAATTTACCCCATTTTTATTGGCTTCTAGGAAGAATGATGAAATAGTTCTCATGAAGCTCATGTTACCTTGCTAGATTGTTTTCTGTACTTGAGCTAGCTTGGGTACTTCCACTCAGTGCTGCAGGATGCAGTGAGGAACATCCCATTAGTCTTGGAGATCAGTCGTTGGTGTTGTATATGGTATCTTGCCAGCTGTTTCTCCTTTGGTTTAATGGTATTCAGATTTCAGCTTCCAAAAATAGGTTGTGGGAGGGCTGCACTATCAAACATTCAGAATCATCCTGAGGTTTATTGTGCATATTTGTCACTACTGCTCTTTTTATACTCTGTAATCAAAAAATTATTAGACAATGACTTAGTCTTATAATTAGCAGATGCTGTGTTGCAAATGGAAAGTTTTTGTATTTATTTAGTATATCCGTTTGACTGAAGCACTTAAGCAATTGTGGCATTCTAAGGTAGAATATTTTTTCTAATTTTTTATTTTTTCTAATCTTTTATTTTCTTTCCATTTTGGTCTCCCCTCACATCTTCAGGATATATACTGTAATATAAGTAATACTGTCTTTCAACTACTACTGAATTACAAGTCTTGTGGGATTAATCTGAATGCTAGATCCTATTCAAATAATTAGTACAATTTAATGGTAAAATCTGAGAAGTTTATCTTGTGTAGTTTTTAGGATTTTTTTCTTTTAAAGAAAATGCCTTTTATTGCTCTCCTTCCTCTCTTTTTTTTTTCTTTCACCATTTTAAAAAAGAGCTTCCACTTTATTCTGTTGAAGTGTCACAATCTTTTGAGTTTCTTGTTTTCAAATAGTTGGTCTTTTGCTGAAGCTTAGGAAAGTCTGACCAATTATTATTGTTAAAGATGAAGGGAAACACGTCCCCTTAGGAAGCCCTTTTGAGTTTCATCCTACAGTCCATAGGGGGGGAGCCAAGGCTTGTGGTTCTTAATTTAATTCTTAATTAATCTTTAATTCTGGATGGTTTATAGCCAGGTAAAATCCCTTGTCTACTGCCATTTCTCTCTCCCTCTCTTTTCCTGGTATCTCTTCTTCTCTCTTCCCTCTCCATCTGCATCCCTCCCTCATCTTTTGGCTCTCTGCTCTTTGTTATCCTCTGCTGCCCACCTTGGCTGGTCTGAATTCTTGCTGCCTCCCAGCTGGCCATGACGCCCAGCACCTGCGTGGATGGGAGCACCCCACGGAGGAGTGGCCGGTGCGGTGGGCTGGAGGTGTCTGTCCTGTGTGGTGAGGTGGTGGCTTACTGGGTATGGGGTAGCTCTCTCCAGAGGGGAGGAAAGTGCGCAGTGGCTGGAGTCAACGCGTTTCAGGGTACCGCAGTGGGAGTCAGTGGGAAGATGTGTGTTGCAGGGAGGCTGGATTTTGGGGTATGGCTGGGGAAGCACCGTGCTGTGCTTCTGGCCTTGGAAAGCATTGGGATGTGTGGGAGCTCTGCGGGGTGGAGGTGTGGAGCAGGAGAGCAGTGAGGCTGGGGCGACTGGGGGTGAGGTTGTGGAAATGCTGTGCTTCAGAAAGATGGGAAATGTGATGTCGTGCTCTGTGGCGTCGGAAGGGTGGGAAGCATGGGGAACAGACACTGGGCACTGGTTATTCGGTGTTGAGATATGAAAGCTTTGGGAGGGCTTGGGAAGTACTACGACATCTGATGGTAGTAAATAGGTGGTAGGCTTGAGTAGTGTGAAAGCCTGATATTGGATAGGGAGCTCTGCGTCATGGAGGCTTGCTTTTGAATCGGGGATCATGGCCAAGATTAATAGTCATTTGTGTTTTTAGCCAGATATTTCTGAATATCCCTTTTGGCTCTTGTTCAGGGAAAAATTATTCCCGTTGTTTGTTACCTTTCTGTTGTATGTGTGGTGCAATATAATTTCTTCTTTGTTGAAATCAGCAGCACTGTGATATTAACATGAAAACTTTGCACTTTCTATGGTATAATATACCTTTTATTGCTTATAGGTTATTTTGGATGGAATCTTGGGATAACTGGCCATTTTTTTTTTATGTACTGTTACACTCTGTGTGTATGTTTGGGGGACACAAACGTGTGTACCTGTTTAGGTATATGTATTCAACATATACTTCCTCAGTAAATCTCTGTTAGTTCACTTACAGCTTTTACTTAGATGTGTCTTGAAGTTTATTTTGCAGTGATGGGAAAAGATATGATAAAAGTAAAAGATCTTGGAATTAGACAGAAATATGGGTCAATTAGAGGAACTACAAGAAACAATAGCTTTCACTGAGAAGGGTTTTTTTATTGGACACTTTGTTAAGTTGCTAGTAGTCTGCAGATCTCCAGATTCAGTGGATGATGTTAGGAACTTTACTCTGAAAGCATTTGTTAATATTTGCACTGGGATCTCTACTTAAAACTAAAATAGATCTAAAATTCCTCTGCGTTGGATTTTCACATTCTTTGAAATTAACTTCCCATTTTGGCACAGTAGGAAGAAAAACTGAATTCCCTATGTAATTTTTAGAAATTAAATGTGGTTAATACGTATGTGTGTGTGTGTGCGTATATATAAAACTCCCAAACTTTCTTCTGCAACTCCTCCACCTCCCAACACACTTCTTTGGGTTCTCCAGCAAAGTAGAAACAGAGCTGTGATGAGCCATTGAACACGCTATGAGCTGCTTCTCTAGTGACGATTCTTCGTATTATACAGTTCAATTCAGTGTATGGATAGGTAAAGCAAGTGGCATATTCAGATGTCACGCAGTGCCTAATGCAGTGAATTACATGCCCTGACTAAGCTTCTTGGTGACATTTTAATACAAATATTTTATAAAGTGGAAAAGAAACATTCCTAATCAAGTTTAAACAATAGAATGTGACAAGAAAATGGTACACTAAATACAGTTCCCTTTCACAGAAGAAATTCTGCAGGTATTAAAAAATCTGCTGTCTTCTGTGTGGGTATGCAGAAATTACTGTCAGTAACAGTGGCCAGTAACTTATGAGATGAAGAGGAAAAAAATCTTAGTTGTGCAGCGAATGGCTAGCTTGACTGTGGACAGGTGGTTAGTTCCACCTATCAGTTACAGAGCCAGCTCTGGACTACAAAGGATTTCTGTCTTTTGCTTGTTAAATACCTATAACTGATGTCATCATTATTCATATAAATGCCTAGACTTCTTTTAATTATAATAAACTCCTAGTCTGTATGTATGGCTGTATTATAATTTATTTCACAGCAAGTGAATTTATTTGCTTGAATGACCTTGTGAGCATATGATACTTGTAGGCAGGCTCTCACGGCAGCCCTAATTTTGCTCTTTTGTAAGCTCAGAGTTAGTCTGTGACTAAGCTGTGCAGCCATAAAATGAAGGAGAAGGAGTCTGTTGAAATATGGCTGTGGGTGTCTTCAATATAGAAGTTGCTCCAGGAAGATACTGCCTTCCTTGTAACTTATGAGAAGAGAGGATGGGAGAGGATAGGACTATGACCTTACTTTAAAGCTAAATAATTCTAGAGAAAAGGCAAAATATTGTCAGTTATGGAAGTCTAGCTAAAATGGAGAAAACCCTACATATGTATCATGCTCTTTATAAAGAAGGAGCAAAGCTTACACATGGCAGTTAGTTAGGCTTAACATGACAATAGAAGACTTAAGGGAAATTCAAACAAATAAAGCTCAATTTGGATGATACTTGTAGAGAAGTGTAGCTTGGATGGAGAAAACTGAAATTAGTTAGGATATGCATGATACTGGGAGAAATATAATTTGAAAGGAGTTCTTTGGCTATGCCTGGAAGGCCTCTTTGTAGCTGGCATAATGTAGGTAGTGGTAGCCCTGTCTTCTAAAGTGCACTTCGGAACTAGTGACATCTGCACAAAGGTGACAGTGGTCTTAGGCCTGAAAAATTCTCTTGTGGAGGCTAGAAAAAAATCGGACTTAGCGCCTTTCTGAGGTAAACAAGATGTGTCATCATATCATTTAAACGAGAAAAAGCCTGGATATAGCTGATAATTCTGTTAGAATAAAAATTAGAGGAAATGGGAGGAGGAAAATGATCTTGTCTGCCTGCCTTAATGGGGATTGCATTGGTGGGACCTTGTCTTGTCCAGTGTTGAGGTTTCTCTGTTTCAGTGTGCTTGTCTAGTAAAAAAAAACCAAAACCCCATATATATATATTCATCCTAATGTATCTCAACTGCTTTTCAGAGTAATCTCATTGTTCTTAGTGGTTATCTTTGGGAACTCCTGGGGAGAGAGATGAGATTCCAGAAGACGTGAGGGCTTGCTTTATTGAAAATAGAACTCACTGGCTCCTATTTTATTTAGACAACTCAAACTAACTTGACTTCCTTAATCAAAGAAACTCTAGAACAAATAAACTATTTGTAGGAGTCTAAAATATAAAATTGCTATTAAATAGTAGGCCACATAGATTTATCAGGAATCAATCCTGTTTAACCAACCACATTTTCTTTGTTGGCAGCATAACAGATCTTAGAACTAGAGAGGTCA